CATTTCTCTGGCAAAATGCAATTCGTCGAGTTCAACCCAAGGTGCACCTTGCCTTTTTTCAGGTAGCTTTCTTACGCCTATTCAGCTAGTGGGGCATTGGAAATTCGTCGAAGGGATAAAAAGAAGAGAACAAAGAAAGCACTCAAAAATCAAAGTTAGATACTTTGGATAAGTAAGAACTAGCACTAGACTTCTTCCCCCTTTTCGACTTTTCCTCTCTCCTTTCTCAATGTAATCGACCATATTTAAAAGCGAAGCAGCAAGAAAACGGATGCGCGTTAGCGCAACGGCTTTCGCGCGTCTTGCTCAATCCCTTGCTTGTTCAGTCAAGATTTGGCTCCCTTTCTTATTCTAGGATTCTATAGTCGCTAGGCGTTCTAGGCCGAATCAGATGTTATGAATAAGGGCAAGCTCAAGCCTTAACTTAAAGGGAAGCTTCTTACATACTTATTGGCTAGGCTTCCTCTTATACTGCTAATAGGCTGACTACTTCGAGTTACTTTTGAAATCAAAGATAGCAGCTAAAAAGAGCGCATCTACAAGAGTCAAGTAGAGCAAATCACTAACCTAAGTTGATAAGGGAGGATTACAATAGCATGTAAACGGTCAGATCCGAACAGTGGAATGCGGACTCGGTGATTAGACAGAGAGATTCCTCTTACAACGGTTTAGGCTCCGTCTTATATTATATATGTGACCGTCAAGGGCCTCACTAGCCATTTCATTTAGTCCATGCCAAGAAAGAAAGTAGAGCGAACAAGCAAGGGATTGAGCAAGACGCGCGAAAGCCGTTGCGCTAACGCGCATCCGTTTTCTTGCTGGGTCGATGTAATTGAGCAAGCACCAATAGCAGTAGATCGGTAAGTATATCATTCCGTAGATCCGGATGGTTCTTCTGTTAGGTTCTTATTAGTAGGAGTAGCAAACTAGTCCCATCTTCTCTTTCTCTCAACTCAATAGTATAGATGCATCAGTCGACTCTGTGGATTCTTTTTATTCCCTTTCTTCCTTATCGCGAGCTGAAATACAGTTAGTTTCATTAGAGCCATTTTCTCACTTAGTTACCAACTCCCAATTCAAGTGCCACCGAGTAAATGGTAGCTTCAGATGAGATAAACCCCTGAGTCCAACGACGGATCGTAAAGTAATGGTCTCCAATGACCCAAGGTTTTTTTTTACATGCTTCGTCAATTACATTGAGCCTTGGCGCGCACCGATTTGAACTCATCAGATGATGGAGGTGGTGGTTGAATCGTCTTCGGTAGGCTCCGCACCCATCTCATGACCACCTTGGGACTATTCCAACTTCTCCCCATATTAGATTGATTTGCCGCAAGAATAGCTCTTCCAGTGTGCCTAAGAAGTATTGGTCCGACATCAAAGTAGAGCTGGATCAAGCTCCCTCTCCCAATACCAAAAGAAAACATAAAGACTAGAGCTAGATATCGTTATCGCCCTATCGCTTACTCGGAGAGAGAGCGCTATCCCATAACTCTCTCTCCTCAGAGGCAGAGAAGTGGGAAACCGAATCTCTTGGTTCAGATGGAAATGCGTCTGTTGTATCGGATAGTTCCTCCGTCGCACGCAGCAGAGATTAGCAGCTTAATCAAATATTTCATCCCTTCTTATCGCATCTTAGGCTCAATGATAATTGACCTCTTCGTTCTGTCCGGCGGGTTACACCGTAAGTTCATAAAAGTCAAGACCCATAAATTGTTTCACTTGAAACTAATATAGAAAACAAAAAAGACTCTCTTATAGGGTGCGACTCCCGCCGATCAAGTCCCTTCGGTCAGTCAGCTTCGTATCAGTGGCTTCGAAGCAGGAACGAATCCTACTGTTTAAAACCCTTTCTTAAGGGCGCTACAGTTTTGACCTAAGAGCGCGTCCCGGTCGGTTAAAAGGGAGATGAGATCTTTGTGCTAATAATTGACTAGAAAAGCAAAGGGCAGAACGAATCTCTCTTATCTATGAGAATGATTGTTTCACTTTCTATATTCCTATTGAAATGAATATCGTTCTCTTCTTTTTCTTTGTGTCACGTAACGTTGCGGTAGGGTATACTCCTTTCCTAATTTCGGTAGTGAGCCTATGGATCGAAAGATTCTCTTAGACATCATTCTCATAGTTTGATCTTTGTGCAGAAGAGTTCGCCCCCTTACACACTTCGTTCCTGACTTACTCTCTCTTTTCACTGACCAGCTTCACTCACTTTTTCACCTGCTTTGTAACCTTTTTTCTCTCCATACGGAAAGAAGAAGATCCAAGCTTAGGGGAAGCAAAGGAATTCGAAGATCAATACATGCAGCTGTTCGGATGCAACACCGGATCCTTCCCAATACGCTATTTAGGAATACCGATTCACTATCGGCGTTTGTCTAATAGTGACTGGTTGAGGGTACAAGAACGGTTGGAAAAGCGCCTCAGTAGCAGGAAAGGGAAAAACCTATCCACGGGAGGCAGGCTGACGCTAATCAACTCGGTTCTTAGCAGCTTGCCAATGTATATGATGTCCTTCTTTGAGATTCCAAAAGGAGTCCGTAAAAAGTTGGATTACTTTCGATCCCGCTTCTTTTGGCAGAGCGATGAACACAAAAGGAAATATCGGCTAGCAAAGTGGGATATCCTGTGCCAACCGAAAGAACAAGAGGGCTTAGGGATACAAAACTTAGAACTAAAGAACATAGCATTGCTCAGCAAATGGCTGTATCATCTGTTAACTACAGACGGCACGTGGCAGCAGATCCTACGCAACAAGTATCTAGGGACAAAACCTTTGGTGCAAGTCCATTGGAAAAGCGGGGATTCTCATTTCTGGGGAAGCTTAATGAAAGTGAAAAACGAATTCCTCAAATTCGGAACTTTCACCATGGGTCTCAAGTAAGATTTTGGGAGGACATTTGGCTATGAAATAGACCTCTGCAACAACAATATCCGCAACTATATAACATAGTCAGGAAGAAACAGGATACGGTGGGCGAGGTGCTTTCGACACCACAACCCAATCTATCCTGGCGCAGAGATCTAATAGAAAACAACTTAGCAATATGGAACAATCAGGCAACCCGACTTGCCGCCATCAACCTTAGCCAGGAGGAAGACGAGTTCAAGTGGGATTTAGACCCAGCAGGTGTCTTTTCAGTCAAGACACATTATAGGGCGCTAATCAACCAGAATGTTCCCAATGTTAACAAGAAGCTGTGGAAACTTAAAACGCCGTTAAAAATCAAAATCTGCCTTTGGTACCTTAGGCGAGGATTCCCTACTCGAGAAGAAGGGCCGCCTCACTAAGTTCAAGTGTCTTCTCTTCAGGAGAATAGCATGCACGGGAGAAGGATTTAGGGGTGTGTAAGAAGGGACTCATTAGTATGTTTTCCTTCCACTTCTCTTCGTAACAGTAGTTTCGCCTCAGTAGCTTCGTTTGTTTGGTCGTTCGATGTAATTGAGGTGAATCATTAGTCGATCCGAGTAAGGATAATAAAGAAGGCTCTCTATCTACTTTATTTGACAGGAGCGGACACCATTCTAAATATACTTGGGTTGGATTCATAGGGGATAGGAATCACAGCCTATTCTCTTACTATGGATTCAACCTCCTCGATTACAGTCAACTGGGAACTCATCGCTGCGTTCGTTACAAATATAGCAAAGAGAGCTGTACAGACTAGCAGTGCTAAGATATTTGCTTACTCCCCCCACGGAATACTAACAGAATCTCCCTAGGGCTAGGGCTTCCCTACCAGCTCTGTTCACCTCCGGGGGTTATTAGGGGGGAAAGAAAATTGGACTTAGCCTCTTTAGTGCTCTGCGCTCTAGAACCTGTTCCCCCGTAAGGAGCCACGTCGCAGTATAGGTATAGCGTGTAGTTGGCGGGATACGACATCCTCGCTTCCTACGAGAGTTAGGCGCTATGATAATAGCCCTCATCCGCACGACTCTCTAATCACTGCCGTCTTGTCTTCTACCTGTTGTATGTGGAAGTTTAGTTCCCCAACCAGCACGAGTCTGGCCTCTCGGTTTTACGCCATCAGCTAAAGCATATAGGAAAAGGGCATTCTAACCTAGGATCTTACTATATCCATATATCTTCCCCATTGGATGATGAAACGATCCTTTACTAAACGAAACGACTTTCACTTTCTTTCATTTTAGAAAAGTGGTTCCCCGGTAAGACAGAGAGGTCGAGTTACTTCGCCCCAACAAACGAAGCAGCAAGAAAACGGATGCGCCTAACGCGCAACGGCTTTCGCGCTAGTTGCTCAATCCCTTGCTTGTTGGGAGAGCGCAATTGAATCGATCCTATCGCCTATCTTATTTGAGTTGGACTTACGACTCTTTGATGAACTGTGCATGGAATGAAGGAAGAGTTATGTTATAGAAGGA